ATGTACATAAGTAATGTATATATGTAATGTTATGTAAATAAGCAGTAACAATTGTATAAACGATTTCGACAATTACTTTTAAATGAAATAAACATTTAAATATTTTATTTAAACAGCAGACAGACTATTTAAACAACCAATAATATTTATGTTTTACACATTAAATAACTACGAAGAAGTGAAAACAATTTGAAACTCAAAACTTGTGTTTCCAAAGTGAAAACGTTAATACTAAACTAACAATTGTGTAAATACAAACATACAATACAAAGTTTTTATTTCAAAATTCTTATTCTCAGTACCTAACTACACACAATCTATTAGAAATATTTACAGCTGAGCACAATTTTTTTAGTCATTTTTTAGCTTTCATCATCAGCCTAAGGCCTTTCACTCCTAAGGTGTCCACATACATCCGCTGCTAGCCACTTTCCTCAAGTCATCGGTCCATTTTAAATTTTGAATCATTTAAAATGTTACACAGAAAATAATGCAAAAAAAAAAAAAATTAGTTTAAAAAACTAAATAACACGTTTTTTTTAGAAAACCAAACTTAAGTAGAAAATGAATTTTAATAAATTTGAAAAAAAGCGTTGGGTGCCTGTTGTCAAAAGTAAAAAGCACCCCATTTTTTTTTAAATTAGTGTATTGTCATCGGTCCTCGATATATCTACAAAGTTTGTACGAACTCCAACCGTTTAAAGTCAGTCAAAATCACGCCCAAAGGAGTCGGTTACATACAAACATACAAGTGAAGCTTATTTAAAGCGTGTAAAAGTCATTAACACTTAAAAATTTTTCAGTCTATAATTGCTGTAGTCTCGTTTGTAACTTGTGTACTTTCAATATTTTATTTGTCCGTCGCCGAATAAAACCTAGATTCCTAACCTTGAAACGGACCAAGTTTACAATACTAGGTAAATACTTTTAAGCTAACCATTACAATGCAATCTTTATTGAAAATATTACAATTACTCAACTTATATTTATACAAATGTATTAAATATCTTTATATGTTATTTTTTTAAATATTACAAGCTTTTGCCGGCGGCTTCGTCCGCGTGTATGTCGGTTATCGCAGTAAAAAGTAGCCTATGTCCTTTCTTAAGAATCAAACTATCGTCATACCAAATTTCATCTAAATCGATTCAGCGGTTTAGGCTTAAAAAGTAACCGACAGGCAGACACACTTTCGCATTTGTAATATTAGTATGGATTATACTAGCTTTTGCCGGCGGCAGTGTGTTAAAAGCCTATGTCCTTCTCTTCAATACAAACGATCTCCTTTAATTATTAAACTCAAACTATGTCAAATTTCATCTAATTCGATTCAGCGGTTATTGATTATCTATACAAACTTCCACTCCCTTAAAGGACGATTTTTGGGATAAAAACTATCCTATGTCTTGTCCCGGGACTCAAAAGATCTCTATATTAAATTTCATCTAAATCGATTTAGCTGTTTAAATGAAAAAAGTGAAGAAGTAACAGAGAGACAGACAGATACACTTACACATTTATAATAAAAGTACGGATAGGTACGGTTTTTTCCCAATGTCCCATCCACTTTCTGAAGCGCCCGGCTGCTGGCAATAAGAAGTTTCTGGAAGATAGGCTTACTAAATACGTAGGACTAAAATATAGTCGATAAAACGTGAGCTTTATAAAGCCTCCGTGTATGTGTCATTATTGTAATTGTCTTCTAGTAATTAAAGCTATAATCTTGGGTTATGATTCAACTATGTGTAAGAACAATAAATTGGCCCAAATGTTTGTAACAACCTTCCAAAAACCCATTAGTATTTCTAACTAATCATTTAAGTAGCTCTAATGTTTGAAGAATACGTCATCAGACGGCTTCTAACGACAATTTACTGTCGCTTCAAATCAAATTACTCTTTATAAAATGTCTAAACTGTAGTCTAGAAACTTGTATAGAATAACAAACTGTGACGTCACACCTACTACCATCAAATTTAATGTTTGTGCTGACAATTTTAATACAATATCGAACTTGATTTCAAACAGAAGTCAACGACTTCAAACAGCCTTTAATAGTCCACTGCTGGACATAGGCCTCTCCTAAGTCATGACGAATTATAACAAGCTGTATTCTTTATTTTTCATACTTAGATATAAATTTAAATAGGATATACGTCGAATACACGCCGTTTGATTAAAATAAGAGTTATTGAAATCGGTTCAGTAATGTCGAAGATATCGCGTGACGCACCTACACACAAAATATTAATTAGAATTAGGAGCAACGTCTTCGTAATCGGGGTATTTTAGTAACAATTTGATACGTGACTCATTATGTGTGCTATTTATAAACCTAACGATAGGTAGATAACCGGCTTAAAACCACCTAAATACCAAAATAAGATAGCTTGAAAAGTAAAAGTAGTTTTACTATCTTTTAAATTGAATGTAATGAATTAATAATTATTGATGGGTAAGCCTTCGGTGTGGGACGTGCGTCGACACCCTTGCTCCATCACATTTGCCAAGCACTGCTGGTTACGCCAGCGCTCCTAATGCATCTACAGAAACCCTCAAACGGCGTAAATATCAGAAATTAGTAGGAAATTACATTTTTGAACCGTTTGGGGTCGAAACGGGTCATGGGGTCCAAGTGCTCGTACACTTCTCGTGATCAGAAGACCGACCTTTTTCTAGCACAGAAAATTAGCATTGCCAATCAACGTGGCAATGCTGCCAGTCTTCTGGGAACGCTGCCAGTAGGCGATGATGCGGTGGATTTTTTTTTGATGCTTGTATGTAAATAGTGTAAATGTTGTAAATATTCTAACTTAATTAATTTTTATTCTTAATTTCATTTATATTTTTGTAACAAATTAACTTCAAATAATAAAACAAAAATTATTTAAATTAAGATTTTTGATTGCAGAATTATTTGGTTTACCAGAATATTGTAATGAATTAATTATATAATAATAAATGAACAATTTAAAGAACAAAAATTAATGTATAATCATTACTGATTAACGAGAATTCACGTAATTAACATATACTACATAATGTTAGATTGTTTTATTTACAAACATATAAATGCAATGAAGAATACTCATAAACCGACTTAAAAAAATAGAACAGATTCTCAATTGTTTTTTTTTTGTATTAATCTCAGGATTCTGTCATGTACGAAACGATTTGAAGTCTTTTTATTTGAAAAGGTATACTCCCGTTTGATCCAATTCAAATTTGAAGAAAATATACCACCCCTTAAAAGTGGAAAAACCAGGAATAAAGAATACAGTATGCTTTAATTCAACATGATGTAGCATATGGAGTCGAATATACTGTTTTAAATCTATACTAATATTATAAAGCTGAAGAGTTTTAATATTATAAAGCTGAAGAGTTTGTTTGTTTGTTTGTTTGTTTGTTTGTTTGAACGCGCTAATCTCAGGAACTACTGGTCCGATTTGAAAAATTCTTTCAGTGTTAGATAGCCCATTTATCGAGGAAGGCTATAGGCTATATATCATCACGCTAAGACCAATAGGAGCGGAGCACCAATGAAGAATGTTTCAAAAACGGAGAAAATTTATTACTATTGAGAGACGCAGATGAAGTTGCGCGGGTCAGCTAGTGTTAGATATTTTTAAAGTCTTGAAGTATAATTGTACAATACAAACCTAGAATTTATACCTAAATTAAATACGGTTTTATTAATGGGTGTATTTAGGGGATGTCTAATTACATTCTAGTATATTTATCACCCAATTAATTAACTAGGTAATACCTAGAACAGAGAATGAAAGAAAAAAAATTTCTTCTAGTTCAACTTAAATGACTAGAAACGAATAGTTTATGTGTATTTATTTAAGTAGTTGGTCGATATATTTAAATGTCTTTTGGTTAATTATATTGTAAACTTGAACTTTCATTGTATAGATTTTAGACTCATAACAGGTCGGAATAACCACAGGACTCCTAAGGAATGTAACCATTTCTACATAACTTTTAACTTTATAGTACATACTTTTAAAACATTTTAGATTTTTACACTTCTTCTAATTAAAAACATTAAGTACTCCAAATACGATATGTTTCCGCCGTAGGTATTTGATTAAAAAGGGGTACGAAGTGTTTTCCTCACGTACGTTTTTTTTTTACTAAAACATATAAAAACTTTTTAAATATGTATAAATAATGTTGTTTATACAGTTTTAACCTTAACGACTACACATCGGAATAGCAAACCTATTTTTTTTAGTAGATATGTTAAGTATTGTCAGTATATATTACCTTCAAAGCGATAATGCGATATCGGTACCGTTACAAGCACGTGCGAGACACAATTTGATAAAAAGATATTCTAATTGTTACGATTAATTTATAACCGTTGTAAAACCTGGTTTCCTATAATCTATTAATCTCACACAGTGTGTGTTTGTCACTAAAAAGTAATTATTAAACCCACAACCCTATCCCTATTATAAAAATTCAATGATGGTCCGTTCTAAGAAACGTTTTCTTAAACTGGCTTCTTTGTTTGCGGGTCGCCGTCGCTCACGCAAAAAAATCTACTAAAAAAACACTGCTTTATCTTCAATGTTTCTTTAACAATAACTAAGTAGCTAGGATTAAAATATAAAAGTTAAGATAGTAAAACAAAGACACACAAGTACTGTTAAATATACCAGGTTATTTCTTGTGTCCCAATTTACCGTTAATGAGTAAACGATATGCTCCGACTTCTTACAGAACAGGTGAAATAAAAATAAAGTTTTAAATGTGAACAATACTTTAGTTTATTATAATAACTCTTTTATCATAATAATAATAATATAATCTAGTTAATAAATATACAACTTTGGAGCTATGTACAACAACAACATTGAGGAATGTTTCACAAAGGTTACATTGACTAATATTGCTAATTTATGAGATTACCCTTCGCAACTGGTCCATTCGCTACACTAAAAACTAAATCACAGATAAATTAAACGTGTTTAAACTATTAACATCTTTCACTGTCGAGTTAAAACTGTTATTGGCTTGTAAATATGCGGTGTCAGCGGATGGTGCGACGGTGATGATAATTCAGGGCTCGAAGAACCAGAGTTCGTTGGTGAATGCATCATTGGTGGTGATGGCGGGAGAAGAGGAGAATTTTGCGCTAACATCGTCGATGTTTGGGCCAACGGAGAGTTTTGCAGCAACGGTGACTGCCCTAAGAAGGGACCCGACGGCATTCTTTCGTATAAGGAAGGTGAGTATGGCATACTGGCGTATCCCATTGATTCAGCGCCACGGAAAGCCGGATGCACAGCACTAGGAGCCACAGGAGGTGTCTTCATCTGCATTGGAGCGTATCTTTGGTACAGCAATTGAGAATATAAACCAACAAGTTGAGAATAAGTAGCAGGTGGGTAGGCTCCGGGTAGACCAGCTCCAGGGAATAAAGGCCTTTTGAAGCAAGCGAGCCGCGAACGGCCGTTGAGTGCCGACCGACGGCGGAGCTTTCCTGTAGTACCTCCAATGAATACGTCTTCTGCCGAAGCGTCCAACATCCAGTAGTTGCCCTTGCCAGGGTCGTCATAATGCCGCGGCACTTTCACAAAGCACTTGTTCAAACTCAGGTTGTGTCTGATAGAGTTCTGCCAACCCTGGCGGTTTTCTCTGTAGTAAGGGAAATTGGTCATAATATACTCGTAGATGCCATTGAGTGTTAGGCGTTTCTCAGGGCTGTTACGAATCGCCATCATGATTAGAGCGTTGTAACTATATGCAGGCTTTTCATGTTTCTTGTCCTTTTTGTCGTCGTCGTCTTTAGGCTTCGTACAGTCCACGGGTTCGGTGCCTGTTACGTCCAGTTCCGAGTCACTGAGGTCCGCCTCGGAGGGCGAAGCGCCCGTCGACGAGGTGGTGGGCGACGGCGGAGGCGCCGGCTTATTCATCAGTATCGAGTTAATACTAAAATCTCCTTCGAACTTCACCATTTTTAGACACTTGTGTGACACTTGTCGACGCGATATCTGTGCGCACTGCGAGCGAGGAGCGAACTGGCGGGCGCGGAGGCGGGCGACCGCTTTTATACTGCTGTTCAGAAGCCCCGCCTCTGTACCTTTTTACTGATGCCGCAGCGAATCGGAGCGGCAGCTTTTTGTTACATAGAGTGCCGCCTCCTGGACTGTAAGCTCCCCTCACCTCAACGCACCCCACTTCGTATTCCCCCCCGCTCAAGCTCTATACGGTGCGAAGTTTTATTTGTGTTGCGCATGCGCAGCCGACCAGTTTATTTATTATCTGCTGTTTTATTGTTGAAGCGACGATTATAAATCGATTGTGGTCTGTTATGTGATTAATGAGTATTGTAAAAATTTTAGTGTTCCTATGACTGTTTTAAATCATTCAATTTTTGTTTATCGAGTTTTATAGACACATTGGTTGTAGAGTATTTTATGAGATGTGTTCGAATAGATGTAACTATAAGTTGTTATAAGTATTCTAGTATCTCTTTAACTAGTAGAGGTATACCTAAGTCTACAGTTAAATATGAATGTGTATTTTGATTTTTTAATACTCTTCCACTCCCTAACTACTTAAATGAACCGTCAAATTTTGCATAGTAGAAGTTGTCTTGGATCCAGATGGATAGAGTCCCCTACATTCATTCAGAAAAATTATAACTCCTGATGGATAACAATATACCTTTTACACAGTCTCCTGAGTTAACAAAATCTAGAATAATACGAACAAATCCTCAGACAAGTAGCTAATCTAGGCATAGGTACTAATTTTATAAATGTCGCCCTAGCTCAGGCACTACTGGTTCGAATTGAAAAATTCTTGCAGTGTTGGTAAGCCCATTTATAGACGAAGACTATAGGTTATATTACATTACGCTTACACTAATAGGAGCGGAGTATCAGTGAAAATAAATGAAAAACAGAGAAATAAAAAATTGAGAGAGAAATTCTTTTTGAGACACTCAGCAGATGTTGATATGTTGATGATGATGAAGTTGATAAAACAGTGATTAATCAGTCAATTTATTAAAATACATGTAATTGGCAGCCATATCGTAGGAAAATTCCTGTATCTCGACAACTTCCTTCCTAGGGTCTACCCGAGTACGGGGGGGTCGTCTACCTGTTGTTGTAGATGGCCCGAGGTATGTCGGGGCACCAGGGACTTCCTTTCTGGTATACCTGGTTCCCCGGCTATTAGTACCCGAGACGGCTTGCGGTTTTAGTCGGTTCCAGTCCGACATGCCACCGATATCCGGTATCCGAGGGGATTTCCGCACGGAAAAAAAAAGAAAAAAGGGTCTACCCGAGTCTCGTGAAATAGACTTACATGGGACGGAATATCGTGTTGTTTTAGTCGGTTCGATTCCGATATGCCACGTCACCGTGAGCGCCGGTGACGTGATGACCCGTGGGGTATGTCACACGAAAAAAACTCAAATTTCTGTCCAAGATAGATGCAATTTTTATTAGTATACTATAATATTTCCACACATCTTACACACGGCCGTCTGATCCCAAACTAGGTAGAGCCTGTGCAATGGTAACCGGACTGCAGATAAACATACTTATATATTTCTAAATACATACATATTATAGATAAAGTACACCTAGACACAGAACAAATGACCGTGCTCATTACACAATTATTTGTCCTGGGTGGGAATCGAACCCACGACCTCTGGCGTAGCAGTCATATTATTTTATTGTTCGTAAACTGGTTATCTACTAAGATGGAAGCAAATATGTGTAAATACTTACAATGACAAATATTGTTATAAAGACAATCTATATAAATAAATAAAATTGAAGTGTCTGTTTGGAATGTCAAAATAATAGGTTTCTTTCATGCTCACGAGGTTATCTGCACGATACCTATGCTTAAAAACCAGTTTAATTTTTTTATCTGTCTGTCTGTTTGTTCCGGGAAATCTTCTAAACGGCGGGACCGTTTTTCATAATATTTCACTACCAGGTAGCTGTCCATATAAGCAGTGACTTTTCCTATCAGAAAAACCCATTAAGGCAGCGCTTGTCAAATTCCACGCTAACGAAGTCACGGGTACCAGCTAGTGGTAAATATAATAATAACATAACGAGTAAACATAAACCTTAATGTATACTTATATAAAACAATATCTAAGCTATTTTTTATTGGCAAGTTGATCTAGTGTTTAGTTACCCTAACTGCTAAGCTTGAGGTCGTGGGTTCGATTTACACGCAAGACAAATAATTGTGTGAAAAGCACGATCACTTGTTCTGTGTCTAACGAACTAAAAACCTTTTTTTTCTTTTTTTTGTTTCCGTGCGGAAATCCCCTCGGATACTGTCGGTGGCATGTCGGACTCGAACCGACTAAAACCGCACGCCGTCTCGGGTACTAATAGCCGGGGAACCAGGTATACCCTAGAAAGGAAGTCCCTGGTGAACTAAAAACCCCTATTCTAGTGAACATACCCAAGTAACATCCGTTTCTTATTTCCCATATCTTACGGATTTTCCCAAGTTAGTTATTGTAGTATATTTTTAAGTGATATTATGTAAATAAAAGATATTTGTATCAGATTAAATATTATATTATACGTACACAATGTGTCATTATATGACGCTCTGTCATTAGACACGTGGGTTTGTGAATCATTCTTTTTTAGGATTTTATATCGATATTTAAACGATAAATTGAGGTTATTTGATGTCCTTGTATTTGTGGCGCTAAAGGCGGTTATGACAGGATTTTATCGTGGGAGAGCCATGCTTTGGCACAAAAGTTCTGGCTCTATCGGAGTGATACCTCGGCCTCACAAAAAACTGGTGTTATGCTTTTTTTCTGGTTGCTTTTCACCGAGTGGATAAGGGTACAGAAGCCAATTTACATTTTTTTTATGGTATAAGGGGGAAAACGAGCAGACGGGTTACCCGATGGCAAGCAAACACCGCCACCTGTTGCTGCCCTTGGAGTCCCTCCCGCTCGGGTCAGCGGGAGGGTTGATTTGGGTTCCAGTAACCTCACTCACTCAGTGAAAGGCAACGAAAGAATTGCTTAACACCGGTTTTCTGTGAGGCCGCGGTATCAAATCCTCCTAAATGATGATAAATTGTAAGATTCCTTTACACCTCAATTTTTAACCTTAAATAATAATAACCACACATCACACACACGACCGTCTGATCTCAAACTAGGCAGAGCCTGTACTTGGGTAAAAAGAGTGCTGATAAACATCGGATATAGTCTGTGCCAATCAGGCTCAAAATTGATTTATTCAAATACATTCTTTTCTAGGTCCATTTCTGTAGTATAGATTAAATAGAGAGCTAATTATTTATAAATTAAATAATGTTAGCTGTACTACACTTTACATATTATTAAAAAAAATTGTCGTATGAGCAAACAGCGCACTTAAAATATGTAAATAAAAATTAGCTGAATGGTCTTTGTGCATTATTTTGCCCCACTTATTACTAATACCGCTAGTTGCTTATGTAGGTTATTAAAATGTTATTACTTAATTGTACTTATTTTGATTTATGTTGATACAATAGTTTGTAAGCACTTCTTTGCCGAGACACCGGTTCAATCTAGTTCGGGCACAAATGTACATTATTTCTGTATTGGTGAACCATTTATTATAAATTATTGTACTCGTTATGTTATTAAATAATTATTAAACACCATCATCGTCATCAACAGCCTATAACAGTCCACTGCTGGCCAGACGGTTGTTACAAGCTTTCCTTCTCTTTGCAGTGCGATTGTCCTGTGTAGTTTGCTCCCTTAGTCGGCTCTTACGACACCCTCGGGATGAATAGGGGTGGTGACACTCCATATTCTTAATCCGTCACCACACGGACTACTTTAACTGACCAAATCAACAAACCATTTAAATTTATATTTAAATTTGACTTCAATCTCGTAAATACACAGAATTATAAATAAATTACACTCAGAAACAAAACAAATGTTCGTAACTACTGATCACACAATTATCAATCAGGATCAGGATGCCAATGGAACAAGGACATCAAATAATCATAATGTAGTGTGTAAACAGAAATAAAGAAAAATCGATTAACAATACAACATAATGTTTAATCTTATCTGTAATATGTATGTATTTAGGAATATATCAGTATGTTTATCTATACAAATAAATAAAATTGGAGTGTCTGTTTGTAATATTAAAATAACCGCTTTTTACTAAATGCATATGTATGTTTACACGGTACATTTGCCAAAATAACATTTTTTACACTTTTTGTCTGTCTGTTTGTTCCGGGTAATCTCTAGAACGGCTGGACCGATCTACGGGACTTTCACTGGCAGATTGCTGATGACATAAGGAGTAACTTAGGCTACTTTTTTTTGACTAGCTTCGCCCCGCGGCGTTGCCCGCGGTTATAACAACAAACGCGGGTAAAACCGCCGGTCTCAGCTAGTTTATAAATATATGTGTTGTGTACCCGCTTGACGGTAACAGGGTTGCCTCCTTCATACGTAAATGGGACTAAAACCAAAGTGGGCAAAATGTGAACGTCTCTCTCTACCCCCTAAGGAGATAAAAACGTGAGAATGCGTGTGTGTAATGTTGTAATATTTATTTTAAAGACAACACTCGCACTATAAATATATCCTGCGTCGCGCACGAACTTTATAGTTATACATAAAACGTAAACAAAAAACACCCAGACTCAGAACAACAATTTGTGGATCACACATGATTGTCCAATGTTGGGATCGAACCCACAATCGATCGAAGCCTAATAAGGTGATTGCTAAACCACTAAGCCATCCGTGCAGTCAAATATTTAAACTGACGTCAGTTTGTGGATAACCACTTCTGCACAACATCATCATCATCACATCAACAGCCTTTAATAGTCCACTGCTGGACATAGGCCTCTCCTTAGAAAGAAGGTTTTGGCCTACTATACCACGCTGGCCAGGCGGGTTGGTATAGGGTTTGTGTCAAGT